ACCTGACTTGGGTTAACTGTCAAGGATTTCATGGATTGATGAGGCCATGGTTTTGTTTGGCATGGCACCACTTACTCTTTTCCAACCTGCACCTATATCAGCTAGTAATGCCTGTCGGGAGGGGGAGGCGATGGTTAGGCATGCGCAGCACCTGACCTAGCCATCTCAATCTATGTAACTTTATAGCCTCTTCGATTGATTTTCCCTCTTTGTCCAACACTCTACGCCTAACGTCAACATTACTTACCTTATTATACCACCTAACGTGAGAAAGAGATCGTAGACATCTATGATCGAAAACAGTCAACCTTTTCATGTCTTCAACTCGTATTGGCCATGTCTCAGAGAGCCATAGAGAAGGAGGGAGCGAACTGCTGAGCAGTACACACGTCCCTTGGTTGATAGTCGGATGTCACGCCTACGCCAGAGATGGTGTAAGTTAGTGAAAGCAGCCCGAGCATTTTGTATCCGTGCTGAGATTTCGTCACCAATCAATCCGTTGGTGCTGGTACAACTTCCCCAACAGGTGAAGTGGTCAACATGTTCTATCACTTCACTCCCTATCACTACTAAGCTAGGGGTAGACGTAGTCCAATCCTGTAGCAGCATCGACCGACAGCTGCTACCTTCACGTGGTGGTCGGGCTTGAACACCGCAATGACCCAACAAGCTATACTGGCTGAGACTTATGTCGCTTGAGGTCCTACCATGCCACAAAGGTTGTTTGGATAGCGGTTAGACAAAAAGCAGTTACCCAACCCAATGCTTGTTTGATTCCACACTAATTACGACGGCGAATAAAAGGTGACAATTATTTTCAACTAGATGAATGGTTTACGAGGAAAGGCTTGGAAACCAAAAATTACACAGGATTAGAATGGATAACCAGGGTGTGTGAAAATGAGCGAGCATGAAAACAAAATTAAAATAATAATAATAATATTTTTCAACTTGAGATGGGAAAATTATTATTATTCCAATTCTGTTTTCATGCTCATTTTCTATACACCTGTAATTCGCTATAATCCCGTGTAAATTTTGTTTCTATTATTATTATTATGATTATTATTATTATTATTATTATAGTTTCCTTTAATTCCTAGAGGAACAGAGGGCTTCAGCCGTGCGTCTCCATTGCGTTCGGTTCTCTGCTAGAGTCTTCACTTGGCTCCATGTCTGCCCACACGTTTTCATCTCCTCTTCACATGACCTCCTCCAAGTCACCCTTGGACGATCAACTCGCCGCTTCCCTTTCGGGTTCCACTCGAGCGATGGCTTGTCTAGTGGTGTCACTTGACGGTTTCTTCAGAGATTGGCCAATCCATTTCCATTTCTTCCTGCCTATTTGTTTCACAATCGGTTCCTGGTTGGTTTGCTCCCAGAGATCTCTATTGCTGATCTTTTCTGGCCATCTGATCTTGAGTATTGAGCGAAGACAACTGTTAATGAAGGTCTGTAGTTTGTTTGAGATGATCTTCATGACGCGCAGTGCAAGTCTCTGATCCGTATAGTAGCACTGATTTCACATTGGAGTTGAAAATCCGGATCTTATTTTCATTTTCATGCTGAGTGCTGTTGACCTCCACACAAACTTGAGGGTAGTGGAAGCTTGTCTTGCTTTTCCGATTCTTGCTTTGATATCCTCGTCAGTTCCGTCCACCTGTAGTTGAAACGATGCTTCCCAGGTCGGTGGGTAGGTGAAGGAGGTTGTTTCTTTCAGGTTCCTCCAATTTATGCTGGCTGATTGTTGTCTGTTGTCGGTGTTGTCCAGGAATCTTCATCACCTCTGTTTTTCTAAAGCCCTTGTAATCTGTATTCACACCTCCTAACTCCCATCTCAAGTTGAAAATTATCACTTCAACTTTGTTTCCATGCTCGCTCATTTTCACACACCCTGGTTATCCATTCTAATCCTGTGTAATTTTTGGTTTCCAAGGCTTTTCTCGTAAACCATTCATCTAGTTGAAAACAATTGTCACCTTTTATTCGCCGTCGTAATTAGTGTGGAATCAAACAAGAATTGTATCGTATCCATGTAAAATTATGTATTTTATAAATGCGATTGTACAACCACTTTTGATAATGAAATCGCCGAAAAGAGATGACAGATATCTTTGCTGAACTTCGTGTTCTCTCTCTTCTTTCTATTATTTTTTATCCAGCTCGATTATTTCTTTTTTACCTTGTCATACCTTTCTCGTCCTTTCTCTGAGTCATTATTCATTATTATGGCTGCATTCGTATTTCTCAGAAAGGAAGCAGTACACTATATGTCAGTCAGGGAAAGTCGTCCACTTTGTTGGTTACTGAGGCTGGTGTCCCTCAAGGTGCTGTTCTTTCTCTTTTTCTGTTTTCTTTCTTCTTGTATGACTTGTCTCACTCTGATAACGAAATGAACTTTGTAAAATATGCCGATGATCTAACTATTTTGAATGTCTGTTAACTCCCAGATAGACTGCACTAAGATGAACAGCTTTCTATCAGGAATTAGCAAATGATCTTCGTCTAACGGTGTTAAACACTAAATCCTTCCAAATGATGTCAGACTGTTAATTTCAGTTTCCGATGTAAACGAAAGTTAAATGAAGCTGTTGGTTCCTATGACCACTGGAAAATTGATGATAGTGAGGATATAGAAACCAAGTCTGAAGTTAAGTATCTTGGATTAATTCTTTTTTCTTACCTAGCTATCCTGGTCTTCGCATGTCTTAGTGATTTCTAAAAGAATATTTCGTCTGACTATTTACATTAAGAAGTTAAGGCACTCAGGCATAACCCAACCAACCCCTCCTCCTCTTACAGTTTGTCAACTCGTGCGCATCTTACCTATTCTTCTTTACTGTTCACCACTGCTTATTCTCTCCTGGATTGCTTGAAGGAAAGACTATGTCATACTTCGTAGAACTCTGAAGACTGTCAGTCAGTCAGTATGGCGAGTGGTGGTATCCGATTAGGCCATATCGTTGACATCGTCACGGATAGGCACCTGATATCATACAACAAATTTGCTAAAGGAATCTTATCAGACTGCTAGCATCCGCCACAGCACCCACAGCTCCAACCCTGTGTCTCCTCTTCAGGTAAAACAAGAAGTCATTTCCACAGAAGACTTTATGCATGTACGTCTAAGTATAAAAATTCCACTATACCATATTTGACAGCACGTACTTTATGTGATGAAAATAGTGTCAGGCATGAATTAGCTAACCTTCTTTGCACTACTAAATAAACCATTTCCTCCACCCTTAAAGCATCAAACTTTATTGTTATTGTATTTCCTATATTTATAATCCTCTCAATTTTTGTTTTGTTTATTTTTTGTCATAAGTGTGAACATCATTTAAGCTGTGTTATAACTGTGTTAATTTTGTCTCTCCCCTCACCATGCTGCTATATCAACAGAACATTAGACTCAATGCCTCTATAATAACATGCTAAAGTTTCCAAACTGAATCGACAATACTGTTTGAGACAAACTCACTGTGCGTCGGTGGCACAGTGGTTAGGACTCTCGCCGACCATGCACATGGTCCGGGGTTCGATCCCTTGCCGACGCACACCCGATATCTATGGTCGGCCTGCAAAATTTCGGCTACCGATATCCATGCTGAAAATTCCATACATGTACTGAAAATACGGTGTGGCATCAAGCTGTAATCAAAATTAAATTAATTAATTAAATTATTAATATTATTATAATTATTATTACATTTAATATTCTCAATTTGTGCTTCGAATATTTTTGACTTTATATCGTAAACGTGGACGAATTCCTCTGATTAATTTTGTTTTAATTTCATTCATATTTTGAGTAAATCAGATGGAATATTGTGACAAATGCTGAGAATTGCATTCTGCATTATAAGTAGTGCTGTTTTTGGAATAAAGTAGATTATTATTATTATTATTACTATTTTTCTTCTTATTGCTTCCTGGACACTATAAACTGCGTACAACAATTTGATGAGTGTGTTTGTGGAATGACACAAATACGCATAGGTCGTACAGAAAGGCGATTGTCTACTCATGGCATGATGGAGCATTTGCCAAAATGGTTGAAAACAGCTGAATGCGCAAAGTGCCAAAATCCCCAATAACAAAACACCTTGTGGACTACGGATATATCAAAGTCTTCATGGACAGGACAGGACAGTACATGCATTTCAAGAGTTTTGTTCCAATCCAGTGTAAAAAGAACTTAGTCAGAACACTGTTCAATAGAGCACGAAAAATTTGTTCTGACAGTACTGTTGAGCATGAAATAAAATCCCTGAAGGATATCTTATCTAAGAATGGATATCCTGAGAAGTTCATTAATAAATACTCTAAAGAAAACACCCACTGCAAAACAATCCAAACAGTTCCGAAGAAATCTGTCTATATCAGTTTGCCGTTCAAAGGAGATGATGTACAGGAAGTAGTCAGACGAAGACTCGACAAAGCTATCAGGCGAACTTGTTTTCCTTAACACCACCACCAAGTGAGTGCTTCAACAACCTGGGAAAGACCAGTCGCCAATCCTCGACACTTCAAACTGCGTATATCAATTTGATGAGTGTGCTTGCGAAATGACACAAATACGCATAGGTCGTACAGAAAGGCGATTGTCTACTTATGGCATGATGGAACATTTGCCAAAATGGTTGAGAACAGCTGAATGCGCAAAGTGCCAAAAATACCTCAATAACAAAACATCTTGTGGACTATGGACATGATATCAACGCTGTCAAGTCATTCACTGTTATTGTCAGCAGACAAAGAAACAGGAAGATGCTTGCAATTGAGAAGGAGGCTTATGCAATTCGATTATAAAAAGCAAGTCTCTGTGTACAAAATTAGATGGTCGTCACTCTGAATCTACCATGGTAATACATTTTACTTATTATTCTACCTCTTATTATTATTATTGATTCATTTAAAACTATCCCCTAATCAGCAGGATTATCTCGACTCACTTCACTATTATTATTATTGTTTTTTTTTCTCTGTGTCGTTTATAGGGTACACTGAATACACGTTGCAGTGCGTATGGAATTCATGTAAAAGAAGTTGAAATGTAAGTGACGTGTTACTTTGTTTGTTTGTTTGTTTTCTCTCACCTGTATCACGGATGATTTTTTTGGTTGATGTCACACAAAATCAAAGACTTACTTACAAGTGAAAATCGACAAATTGGTCGAAGAAGCAGCCAGAAAAGACAGGACTCCAGGTGAACATAGACAAGACAGAGTTTATGAAAATAACCAACCAACCAACAACAACAACAGCAACATTCAGCACCAATCACCAGTGCGAACGGGAGGGATTTGAAAGAGGTTACTTCATTAATTCACTTATCCAGCCAGGGAGCATTGTCTCAACTACACGAGGAACGGACGACGAGGATGTCAAATCGAGAATCGAGAAGGCGAGAAACACATTCATCAACCTCTAAAAACCAATCTGGAAATCTTCGTCACTCAACTCAGCATCAACAACAAAATTCGGATTTTCAATACAAACGTCAAGTCAGTCAGTTCTTCTATACGGATGGATCAGAAACTTGTTGGGTCACAAAGAATATTTCCAACAGCCTGTTGCACACCTTTATCAACAACAGCTGTCTTCGTTCTATACTGAAGATCAGATGGCCGGAAAGAACAAGAACCAACAAGAAACTATGGGAACAAACAAACGAAACAAGAACCAATCACTCAACAAATGTGCAGAAGAAAGTGGAGATGGACTGAACACTCGCTGAGGAGGCCGTTGGGTGACATCGCGCGTCAGGCCATAGCTAGAATGGAACCTGAAAGGGAAGCGACGAGTAGTAGGACGTCCAAGGGTGACGTGGAGATCGTGTGGAGAGGTGTTGAAACAGTATGGATTAACATGGACGGAGGTGAAAAGTACAGCAGAAGACAGCGGCAAGTGGAGACGTGCAGTTGAAGCCCTATGTTCCACTAGGAACCCAAGGGAACAATAATAATAAATAATCACTAATAATAAGTCGTGCTGTGTACACTGATTATCAACAACAATATGGACTGTTGTACCGTACCGCAGACCGACATTCATTTATAAACATCATTGGTAGTATTAGCAGTGGTATTTTCCATGTATCCGGTAGGTTTGAGTGATGAGTGATTCCAATTGCCTGTGTTGCGTTGGGTGTAGAGTCACTCGATGAACCAGGCAGGAATCAGTAATCATCCTCTCTCTCTCTCTCGCTCCACCTACATAAATTACTTACTTCTTAGAATCTTAACCCTCTCCCACCATGATATTGTGTGATTGTGTGTTAATGCATGCATCCAGTGCAATGTAGTGCTGAGTTAGTTTTTCTAAATTACTTATCTTCTCGCGTGAGGTCAACCATTCTTACCTTAGCCACTAAATTCTTATGTTCCGACAATCTGATTACCCCGCCCGATCTACTAGTTTGACCTATGTAAGTGGTCACAGTCATTGGAAGGTATTTTGTAAATTGTATTATTTTGTCTATTTGGGTCAACCGACAGGGTTCTTTAGCCTACAGAGCTTGTGCTACCTGAGTGAGTTTGTAGGTTTCAATGCCACCACCAGCCTAATTCCTGCTTTGTTATTAAGAATCCTACGTAGGGAGTGTCTCAGATGTCCCCTCCCTCCTTATATGGTATAACAGTAGATGCCTTATATTCTCTCTTATTTATGTTATCATTACTAGTTTCACAATTATTTTTCGATTTTGCTTCTGGCCTTTACTGATCTTCCTAATGAATTTTATAGGATAGTTAGTTATTTAACACCAACCAGCTCTTCTTCTTATATCTGTTTTATTTCATCATTTAGGTCTTTTCTTGTACTACTACTTAGTGCTACTGCTCGGTTTGTTAGACACTTAACTTAACTAAGCCTGCCTTCACAGACAGTTTAACGGATGAGACGAAGGAGAATGTTACTTTTGATCAAGACATTTCCTTAAGAAATATATCACAACTTCATTCATTCATTGTGTCCAATACACGCTTAAGTCATTTCTTTGTACGAAATACGTAGAGAGATAGTCAGGAGTGTTTAAACCAAGTGTTGGTTTGTAGGGATTTGATTGGTTACAGGATTTCATCATGAGCTGACATTAGTTAGAGAACCATTGGAAAACCAGCCAGGGAGTACAACACAACTGTTTCGTCCTAGTTTGGGACTCTTCATCAGTACGCACCCACTGGACCCAGAACCACGTTCTGGTTACAAGGCCAGTGAGCTCGTAGACCATTAAGCCACTGGGACCCGATCCAATGGCCAGTCAGTCAGTGCATGAATTCTAACTTCTGGCAATTCACGATATAGCGTGACCCCTAGCCAATGTCTTCTGCGGCGAGTATTTGTTCTCACACCCGACCTACTGCACCCTGCTGGTGTTTTAAACCAGTTGAAACCACCACCACCATCATTTAACACCTATATATGAGGTGATGTCACACGGCAAATGAATCAGAAAGGAAAGTATTTGAAGTGGCGGAGATAAGAGAGACTGCCTTATATTACCCCTGCCCCCTATTATCTCTTTCTGATTGTTACCATCTGAATCATGTGGGGCGCGACATACAATTACGAAGTAGTGGCTCCTGTGGAGTGAGCCAGTCAGTTACTTGCATACACCGTACACAATTAGGCGTGTGTTTCTCGTCGAATCTCCGAACATCAACCACCCTGCACAGTGGTTGGTTGGTTGGTTAAGTAAAGGATAAACAAAATCTATCAGTTCACAGAGCGCTATTATTCTATCTCACTGATCTTGTGGAACACAGAACACAAGACTGACTGATGTTAAAAAGGTGGCTTTCAGGGTCATTTATCGCATACCAACTAACAAATCTCAATTTCGTCTTAACAGTTCGACTACTAAATATCGCTGAGGCTGGCTGTTGGGATCCAGATTAAGAAGTCTAACTTGTGCATCCAAAAGATGTTAGTTCAGACATTATCCTTACCAGCTTGGTCATCTAGGTTTGAATGATCTATCCTGAATTTTTGTGGAATTTTCCTAATTTTAGTTGATATTCTATTTGCTACTATATCTTTATTACTATTATTATTATGATTTAAGCATCTTTAATGAACTGTGGTGATTCCATTGTGATCATACTTTACAAATCGATATTACTATTTAAAAAGCACAGTTAAACAAAACTGATTGATGAGTTTTATTATTTTAGATCTTTGATCAATGAGATTTTTGGCAGGTTCTATGTTGTATATATGACGTGCTAATTAATGCACGTGAGGTTTTATCGGTTAATTTTTTATGTCTTCTCACTTGACTGAGTAGAAGTGTCTTTCAATTGTTTTATTTGTCTCGTTTTCTTATGAACAATATATATATATATATATATATATCAAGGGCCCGAAAAATATGCACGAGTGACACATTACGATGGATGAGTTTCGACATATACATTCAGTTTTATTAGCTAATGGTTATCCGGAGAACTCCATCACTTGTCACAGTAAGGATAGACCATATCTCGAAAAGACAGCTTCTGTACCAAAGAAAGCTATGTGTCTTTATTAACCTACCAACCATTCAAGGGTGACCAGATTATGCAGTTGTGACATCTAGCTCAAACGCACATTCTACGCCACATCTCTTTCCCTCTCACATACCGAACATTTTCGATCCCTGTACCTACCTAAGATTAAAGGACGAAATTCTGTGGATTCTACTTAAAACTGTATCGACAAGTTCACCTGCAGTTGTTCCCATGACACCTATATAGGTAGCACCAATAGAATGTTCCAATGTCGTGGTCGAAAAGAACATGTTCTAAAATGGTTACTAAATCATATAGAAAATCCCACCAATGCATTCATTAGTCTGAATAGAAATCCACCTGCATCATCATCCATCGTAAAACACTTATTAATGTCAGGTCACAAAATCAATCAATATTAATTAATGACTGTTTCACAATTATTCCATCACATAACTCTAATTCAAGGTTGGTTATTGAAGGTGATGGAAGCACTCTTCGGGAATTAATCACACACAGCGTAAACTGGGTGTGTAAAGTCAAAACAATAGACTTCAACCTTCCTTCGCCTACCATGGACTGACTACTTGACCTATTTAAATGTGATGATTGGTCATTAGCATAGTATGTACTTTTGTTTTGCCTTATATAACTGAGTAATTGTCTTGCATTTTATTTTATTATTGTGAACCATGTTGCTAGTTGTGTAAAGCGGTTGTAGCGAAACTACGAAATGATGACGATATCATCTCGCGGAGAAATTTGTCTTCTTCTAAATGCCTTATTGAAATTTAAAACAAATGATTCAGCGAAGAGACTTTTCAACAACGAATTTATCATCAAGCTGTACAATCGTATATACACATATGGTTTTTTAAGAAGTTATATCCGGTGAGAGAATTGAATCATAGGTCTTAGTGAATGCATAAAATAATAGTAATAATAGTAGTATGAAATGCAATTAAAACTAAAATGTTTGTGATTATAATCATAGTTAAATGTCAAGTGGCAAAACAATTAATGTCATTTTATATAGAATAATTCAAAGGATGGATAGAACTTGGAAAGGGTGTGCAATTAAAGGATTAGTAGACAAATCGAATAAAATAAAAACGTTATGTAATATTGTGTGAAATTTGATGGCATAGAATTTAACGTTGTAAAAAAGAAGAATTGATTTAGAATGACAAGTGGAACAAGTGAGATGATACCGGGGACAGATCAAAGTGAGAATAGTAATAGTATTAACAATTGACATTGTAATAAAGGAAGAGAATACAAATTGAATAGACAAAATGAAAAATGATAAATTGGTAGAGCTTAAATATGATTGGGGATTACCATATTTTAGCATATAGGGATTAAGACCATGAAAGTTGGAAGGGTTGAACGAACTTTTTCTGTACACAAGGATCTGGCTTTTCTGTTTACATAGCTAAAGATGGCTTCAGCAATACAACAGATGAGTCGGGTACGTAGGGATTTGGGTAAATTACTCTTTGCCTTGTAGATGACGTTGAAGGCGGAGGCTTTAGAGATAATTGGGTGATCATTATCGACCAGATGTTCTATCCATCCTATGAATTATTCTATATATGTGACATTAATTGTTTTGCCACTTGACATTTAAGTATGATTATAATCACAAACATTTATTTTTAATTGCATTTCATACTAATATTATTATTATTTTATGCATTCACACCTATGTTTCAATTCCCTCACCGGATATAACTTCTTAAAAACCATATATATATATATATATATATATATATATATATATATATATATATATACGATTGTACAGCTTGATGATAAATTCGTTGTTGAAAAGAGTCTCTTCGCTGAATGGATCACCACTTGTTTTGATTTTCTACATGTTACAATGGGAATTTTCGATGATTTATTCAAATTTATCAAAGGGACTAATTGTTTTAATAAATATATATATATATATATAAATTTGTATTGTACCTACGTGTAGTAATAACATTTCTCTCTCTACATGTTTTTTTCTCAACATCATCAAACACACACTCTAGTGGAGACTTAGTTCTGCTCCGTCCACCACCGCCAGTGAACAAGAACAAATCGCATATTGAACTTGTTAGTAAACATTTGCAACAATTGTCATGTGTACTGTTGAACACTCGTGAGACATCGTCACAGTTTAGTAAAATGTCTGGCTTGAGCATACAGCAACAACAACAACAGCAAGAACAAGAAACATCGTCTACAATCAACACGGGGATGATTTCTCAACACTCTGAGTCATTATCCTCTTCTACAATCACACCTGGTGAATCCACCACCACCAACAACAACAACTCCACGATATCTACTATCGAATCACAAAAACAATTTCACTACAAGCCAATCAATTCCCTGCAACATTTATGGCTCTCGCATAATCATCCATCCTTGTCAAGAGCGATAACTCGTGCTCAAGGTCTGCTTAATAGTGATATTGCTTGTGAAGCATTGGAGCGTGCATTACTACAACTGGTTATATCAACGTCATCAGCGCAAATCAAATTCACCAAAGATAATTTACCCTCGGTAGATTCAGCAGAGAGTTTAGGCTACACTCTCCTGTATTTAGATGCCAACAGTGGTAAGTGTTATGTCCTATGATAAACTGTCTTCAACATCATTATTATTGTTATTATTAATTTTTAATATGGTATTCAAAAGAAGTGCAATGTCTAGAGAGGGGGGTGTACCTGAGAAATTTGTTAACATCTTGAAAAAGCCCTATCACAGAAACACCTCAGGTAGAGTGTGAGGGCATACAATATATGTGTAAAACTTGGGCACTGTGGTAGTAGGTAATTCCATATTAGTTTGTTTATTAGATGGATATATCACACAGTGAAACAGTATTAATATTTACTGGATGACGTTTCGAACAAAATTTGTTGTTCATAATCATTTCATCAATTATGATCACACGACTTTGACACTTGAGTTTTATAGTTTTCTTTGTTCTCTCCTATTTGTCGCAGGGGTAGTGGAATTTTTCAAATATCTGGTTAGACAGGTGTTGAATCATTCCCATTACATGTATTCACTCTCAGTTGATTCGATAAACAAAGCTTCTGTTATCATATCAATCTCTCCCCCCACCCTGTGACATTAGATTTTAAAACTGTCATCCTATCCCATCCAGCCTATTGTATGATTGTGTGTGTGACTGCATGTAGTGCCATAGCTGAACTATTCTCTAGATTTCTTATCTTACTCGGGTCAACCAATCTAGATTTTGCTAGGTTTTTATGTTCAGCTAGTCTGACTGACCCTGTTCTACTAGTTTGACCTATGTATTTGAGCTGACAATCATTCCAGCAGGCAGGGTATTAGATAAACTAAATTGTTTTGTTTTAAAGGCTCTACAGGATTGATGCTTTAACCGACAAAGCTGGTGTCTAATTGAGTTGATAGTAGCGATAGTGATAATAACAATAATAATGATAATAATTATAGTGATAATAATAATATTAATGACGACAACAATAATAAGGAATCTAAATCATCAGTAGTAATTCCATACAAGGAAGGAACCTCGGAAGCCTTACGCAGAATCCTTAACAAGGCAGGAATAAAAGTGATTGGCATTCAAACCAACCACAAACTCAATTAGAAACAAGCTTTGTCGGTTTAAGGATCAATCCTTCCAGTGGAGCCTTTAAAACAAAACAATTTAGTTTATCTCATACCCTGCAATGATTGTCAGGTCAAATACGTAGTTCAAACTAGTAGGACAGGGTCAGTGAGTCAGACTAGCCGAGCAGCATAAAAACCTAGCAAAATCTAGATTAGTTGACCCGAATAAGATAAAAAATCTAGAGAATAGTTCAGCTATAGCACTACATGCAATTACACACAACCATACAATAGGTTGGCTGGGATAAGACAGTTTTAAAATCTAATGTCACAGGGTGTAGGGAGGGAGAGATTGAAAGCAACGGAAGCTTTGTTTATCGAATCAACTGAGAGTGAATACATGTTATAGGAATGATTCATCACCTGTCCCCGATATCTGGAAAATTCTACTACCCCAATGACGATGACAAATAGGAGAAAACAAAGAAAGCTATAAAACTCAAGTGTCAAAGTCGTGTGATTATAACTGATATGATTAGGAAGAATAAATTTTGTTCGAAACGTCATCCAGTAAATAATACTGTTTCACTGTGTGATATATCCAATAAACAAACTAATATGTGATGGCATACAACCAACTGTCATCACTGTTGCCAACCAACAACAGTGTGGTTAGACAGGCTTGCGCCCAATCTCTCCATTTCTCTTTAACTTTGCCATCGATAACATTCTGGAGTCAGCTCTGAAGGTGGTGTGTAGATCTGCTATCTGGAGATAGACTTTTTGACCTTGAGTATGCAGACGATATCGTGTCTTACTGTGCTGTGCGATAGCATGCAGGCTGCCCAAATCGCACTTCATCAGTTGGCGGTCAGTGTCTGTATGGTATGGTATATGTACTTTGCGCCGTCTAAGTCCAAAGTACTGTTACAAGATTGGCAGGAGGCTGGACCTACACTCACTCTTGCGGGTGAACCGTTTGAGGTTGTTGATAAGTTTGTGTATCTGGTTAGTTGTGCAAGTGCTTGCGGGGAGGGGTGACGGATGAGATTTCCAACCGTATAATGAAGACTAGGGTGGCACCCTCAGTCTGGGTATCAAAGGTCGGGTATAGAATGCTTCGGTGCGGCTGTCTTGCTCTACGCCTGTGAAACCTGGCCTCTCCGTGTAGGCTGAGGATGTGCGGCGACTCTGCGTGTTCGGTCATTGCTGTCTCCGCAGGATTGCTTGCGTTTGATGGCATCATCGCGTGAGTAATTCTGAGGTTCGGCGGCGTGTGTTTAAACACAGTGGAGATCACCATTCACTGAGTGTTGTCATTTGGAAACACCGGCTCCGGCGGCTTGGACATGTACTGCGAATGTCATCCCAGAGGCTTCCGTACAGGTGTCTCTGTTCGCTGGCCAGCGCTGGGACGGGATGGAAAAGGCGGAGGGGTGGTTAGTCCATGACGCGTGGCGTCGTGGGATGAAGGATGTTTGTGCTAGATTAGCATCGGTTGGTGCATCACGACTCCCTGGTTGGAGTCAGCGAGATAACCCTAATCGATGGCTCGAAACGTTATGGGATATGGCGAAGAATCGCCAATCATCAATGGCGAACGTCGTGCTGCAATTTCCTTCTTTCTTCCCTTCCTGGTGATAGTTAACGAATACTGTTTAAACTTGTTAAACATGACTATATTCCTTCCAGATGAAGTTCTTTATCCGTTCTCCACCCATGTTTTTTTTAAACTTTTAATCTATGTTGTTTTATTATTAATTTGGTAAATGTTTTGAACATGGTTAATAACGATGATTATAATGATAACAAAATATTGATAATAAGGTTTATGCAGGTGGCGATAAGAATAACAAAGATAGTATATGTATATAAGTGTATAAATAAATTGGGTCAAATCTTAAAAGGTGAAGTGGAACGATAATCAGAGTTTAAATAAATATTATAAAAGTACAAAGGAGGTGGAAAATAAGAAAGGGTGGGAGGGTTTTGAATACAGTTCACCTAGGCCAAGGGAGAGACAAAGGTAGAACAAACTTCTTTTGTATGCAAAGACTAGGATTGTTCTCTCGAATTCCCATAGCTTCGGCTAGGTGTAAAAGACGGGTTCTGATTCCATTCGAAAGACTCGATGGAATACGATAGATAACTTTGAAAGCACTATTTTTGTCCACTTGGTGACCGCTATCAATCAAATGAGCCAAAATAGAACTTCGTATGGATTTTATTTGACCTTTTCCGAACCATGAAGGAAGATGCTCATTAATGCGTTTGTTGAGCTGTCTAGTTGTTCACCCTATAGAGCCAGCTCTCTCCACAGGAGCAACTAAATTTATAAATACACATCGAAGTGGCACAACTAGGTAGCTTATCTTTCACTTGAGCAATCAAAATTGGTCGGCTGGAAAATGACAAACAAAGGGTGGCGGCAGTATAAGTCCGTTTTATCGCTCTCGATAATCTCAGATGTAAGACTTCACTAGCCACGTCCCCATTAAATTGAAGTTTCATGAACAGTTCTTTCTTTTTAACTGTTGTCAGTTTTTCTTTGTTGTACCTGGTATTCATGTGTCTCCTAACAAATCTACTAGGATAACCCATTTGGACCAGCGTATTTTGGATATATCCTAGCTCATTTTCTAGGGAGTCATCTGTACAAATACGTCTTGCTCTATTCGTAAGGCATTTGACCAAATTGATTTTATGTCGGATTGGTACAAAACTGAGGAAATGTGTATATTGTCCTACAGATGTAGGTTTTTTTTATAGACATCTCTCTTGAGTGAACCATCTAGTCTCTCTTCTGCTCAATTGGACGTCAAGGAATTAAATGTAGTCTACCATCATGTTCTCCTTCTTCACAAGTGAAGATGAGCGATGGATGTGCATCATTAAACTTTTTTAACATTTCATTCTTGTCAGTTTTCACATCAAGAATAATGAATGTATCATCAACATAAATGGGAATATTTAAAGATTATTATTAATTATTGTGTGGCGCATCTTTCTTGGTGCCATATTGTACCAAGTTTTTTCTGCGTTTGAATAATAAAAATAATAGCAATGTCTACCCCGTTAGAATAAAGCCTTAGGTTGGTCAAACTGCATACTTTTATACAACACGGTTGCTATTCGCTGTAGTAATTGACTGGAAGAGATTTTTTTATGCGTATAGATTTAAGTTGTCAGTAATTTACTGTATGAGATAGGAATAACAGTTAGTCAGACGTAATATTGTTAAAAAATATGGCTCAAAATTCTTGCCAATGGTAAACATGCATTCGATTTCCCTGATATTTCCCTCTGCCTATATTGCTGTCCGTTGGAATCTCTGTCTCCTCTGTTTCTCTCCTTTCTTAGTCTTCTTTTGCGTGATCATAAGTTTCCAAACCGTAGGTGTTATGAACTTCCTGGAATAATTTTGAGCGCCGAGTCAGATTGATTCAGTACAGTACGGATACAGAGGGCTAGTTTCGCATATGCCCGCCAGTTTACACCGTTTCTGGCTTAGTAGACGTGATATCCGGCTGGCTGACTGGCTGTCGACTAAAGGGCGGGTGTACTGCCCAGCCAGAAGTCACCTCCGTCCTCCCTTATGGCTGGCTGTGAGCGAGACCTGGCCGTTGAGAGTGGAAGACATGAAAAGGCTGATTGGCTGTATTCGATCATAGGTGCCTGCGTTCGCTCTATCTCCTGTGTCAGGTGGTGGTATAATAAGGTGAGCAATATTGAGGTTAGGCATCGGTCGAGTGCTAGGTAGGTGGCAGGGGAAATCAATCGACGAGACTGTGAAATTAAATCGACTGAGATGGTTAGGATATGTGTTACGCATGCACGCCTAGCCGTCGATCGCTTTTCTCGACAATGGGCGATGTTAGCTGGCTGACATAGGATTGGTCAGGCTGGGAAAGAGCTGGCGGCAGACAAACCAAAACATGGCCTCACCAGTCAATGAAATCCACCACAGTTAGTTTAAGCCAGGTAGCCACGTAGGAAGGTGTAGACTGGCTTCCTGACTGGTTGGGGTCCTCGGGATGACGGTAAAAACTAATGGAGGCTGGCTGGCGCAGATGCATCCACTCCTTGTGACTTATGATTTCCAATGAAACTATATATTGTGTTCTTTGTTATTACTATTCCTTTGTCTCACCACGCCTCTGTTTACTGTCTCTCTATTATGCATTTCTTCTCTTGCTTTGTGTGGTACATGGAGGGGAGTGTTGTGGCGACTTAAACTGGTGCACATCGGTGCAAAGTTCTTTGTCGAAAACAGACAAACATTCAAAAGTGCAATGTCTTCTACCCCCATTAAAATGAAGCTTTAGGTTGCTCTAACTGCATACTTTTATGCAACACGGTCGCTATTTGCTGTAGTAATTCACTGTAAGAGAATTTTTTTTATACGTATATATTTAAGTTGTCAGTAAGTTACACTATGATATGAATAACAAGGCTGTAGATACGCCTTGCTGACTGACTGACTGATGAGTGCCAACTAGCAGCACGAAGCCTAGGTGTCTAGGCAAAGCTTCCTCTGCCGCCGATTACCTCCAACTAACGAATATCATCATCAAATCAATGTGTGCACCGTGTGGTGGTGAGATAGCCACCTAGTGGCATATAGTGGCCACATTGCAAACCTGACTGACTGACTGATAGAATTCAGTCTGCACCAAAGAGAGGAGGACTAGCCAGCCAGACACGTCACACTAGTTACTGACTGACTAGTGTCAAATCAAATAGTGCAAATGTGTTGTTAAAGCCGTATGTGGCAAAGTTAAACTTTCGACACCAGTAACAACCAATCAGCAAACGACCTTGAACGGACCAATCACATGAAAGAGGCGTTTATGATAAGTGGAAGCGTATATTTATTTTTTTTAAATGCATAAAAAAAAGGATAAAACGGCTATAATGGGTATCCTTCCCGAACATGGGACAGAAACATCTCCCAATTCAGCATGGGACTGTCAATAGAGAAGTCACACCACATTCTATACAAATATTCGTCTAAATGACTATAAATGAGATCTTTTTGCGATGCATTTATAGCCCGGATCCTATTTTTCAATCGACCCCCAAATCCTTCAATGGAATTTGTATAAGTCCCTGTAACTGGATCCACGAAATGAATGGAGTGGTTCACTCTGTAATGAATGTATCCCAGCGATGACAATGAATCATAACCTTTCCACTCATCGGTATGTACAATTGATCCCCGTTTGACAAGTCACGTTATAATAGGTTTCAGAGTAATCGCCTTCCTTTCTGCTATTCTTTCAACAAATCCTTTTCGGAGGGACGTGGCATATAAACCTATGACCCAAATGTTGTTCGCTCTCTGACGACCGTGGTTATATTTCTTCTTCACCAACACTGTCTCATCCACATGCACTACTATGTCATGCCCGCCTAACAACGAAGTAATTCTCTCCGTTTTTTCCATGAGGTGATGTCTCTACAGTGCTGATACCATTGGACTGTTGAGACGAGGCTATTCTCCGTCTCCGAAGCTGCCGCTCTCACTGGCTGCTGCTTCAATACCCAATAGTTGCAGATATACAAAATCTGGGTTAGGGTGAGATGCGATGTAGCAAAAAAAAGTTCCTACGAAATATTAAAATTAGCAGCTGTCCCTCTCTAACTAACTAACTAACTCGCTTCCAGCATATTCCACAACGATGTACAAATCCATCAGTTGACCTGGTTTAGCGTTTTAGAGTCATATAACACCACCACACGAACAACTTCTCTCCTTTCGAAGCAAGCCTAAGTCCAGGCAATACTGAAAGACACTATCCTCTTCGAATTGCAAACGTAACCCCTTGTAAGGGCACGCATTCATTGTAAATGAATCAAGCGCTATACCACATTGAACTACGTTGGTGAATCTCAATGGATAATTCGACGTCGTTCGCTGATTGGTGGTAGTTACTGGTGTCTAAAGTTTAACTTGGCCCCGTATGTTTCACTCTAAACCCAATGGGACAAGTCATGCATAGATCAGATCGCCACATTACGGATCATCATTGAACACAGCCTGGAATGGCAGTCACCTCTCTATCTCAACTTCATCGACTTTGAAAAGGCCTTTGACAGCGTCGATCGAGAGGTGATTTGGAAACTACTTCGCTACTACGGGGTCCCACCGACAATTATACATCTCATCCAACAGCTATACGACAATGCTGCATGCCAAGCAATCCAAAACGGGAAACTTATGGAGCCCTTCGAAGTGAGGACAGGAGTAACACAAGGCTGGCTGGCTGTCTACTATCGCCAATGATTTTCCTGATTGCAGTAGACTGGATAATGCGACAAACAGTGGGCAATGAGGAAACAGGCATAAAATGGACTCACACAAAAACAACTTGAAGGATCTGGACTTCGCCGATATGATATATGTCTGATTTCTCACATATTGGAAGATATGTCAGTGAGAAGCAACAAGTTGACAAAAGAAGCATCCAGAGAAGACAGGACTTCAGGTGAACATAGAGAAAACAGAGGTGATGAAGATTCCTGGCCAACAGCAACAGCCACAACAACAGACAACAATCAGCCAGCATAAATGAAAGGAACCTGAAAGAAACAACCTCTTTTACCTACCTGGGAAGCATCGTTTCAACTACAGGGGGAACTGACGAGGATATCAAAGTAGCAAGGATAAGGAAAGCAAGACAAGCTTTCACTACTCTCAAGTCTGTGTGGAGGTCAACAGGACACAGCATTCATCATGAAAATGAAAATAAGATCCGGATTTTCAACTCCAATGTGAAGTCAGTCAGTGCTACTGTATACGGATCAGAGACTTGGCCAGCGCGTCATAAAGAGCACCTCAAACAAACTACAAACCCTTCATTAACAGTTGTCTTCGCTCAATACTCAAGATCAGATGGCCAGAAAAGATCAGCAACAGAGATCTCTGGGAGCGAACCAACCATGAACTGATTGTGGAACAAATAGGCAGGAAGAAATGGAGATGGATTGGCCATACACTGAGGAAACTATCAAGTGACATCACTAGACAAACCATTGCTCGAGTGGAACCCGACCGAAAGGGAAGCGGCGAGTTGGTCGTCAGTGCAAGAGTGGGTGACTTGGAGGAGGTCATGTGAAGAGGAGATGAAAACGTGTGGGCAGACATGGAGCCAGTTGAAGACTCTAACAGAGAACCGAACGTAATGGAGACGCACGGCTGAAGCCCTATGTTCCTCTAGGAATTAAAGGTTACAATAATAATAATAATAATGTTAAGTTACATAGGAAATCTCCCTGTGGATGGGAGTGGAATATACACACTATTCATCGTGGCGAAAACAGCCGTATGATTCATATATTTTAACACTATTTCCGCTTATTCATTCCACTAATCATTCAAAAAATTTTTCCCAAATTTTGTTTTCTCTTTTTTCCTCCTCTAAACTAGGTAAAGTTGGCGTAGGCAGTATTGCACTGGATAAACAACCAAATGCTACCCTCTACATTCACATCAATGATCTAATCGATGTTGTTGAAGGTCGTCTGGATGTACTGAAGGCGATAGAATCTGGTCAAGTCTTTATGACTGGTTCGTTGTCGGTGCTGAGTAAAATGCGTCACCTACTTTATCTATCACCAGCTTGAGGTTTTATTATTTACGTATACACAAAGTGTGTGCTGGTTATTTGATCGATTGGATTTGTCGTTGACTAATAAATAATGCTGCACAGCTGCTCTGCTCTGCTCTGCTCCACGCAGAGCCTCATCAACTACTAGTCATCACAGTGTCACATATGTGAGCATTTATCAAAAGTTTTTTTGTTTGTTTTTTTTCATTTATTTGTGTTTTTTGTGATTGCATTTTATTTTGATCCAATCTAGTCAATGCATTTAATTGATTTTCTTGCCTTCTTGAAACTGACTTCCTTGATCATCCGTATCTGTGTTGACTTCGTTTACTGTTCTTTTTAAATATTATTTCTCGTATCACAGTAGTAGCAGTAACCGAAATTTCCTCATCTCATATTACTCAATCGCTGTTATTATTATTACTATTATTATCATTATTATTATTATTATTACCATATAAAAGCCAGTGTTACTGGATGTTGACTTGTAAGCCAAAGCTATTTCATCGGTTTGTCCTTTGTTTGTTCGTTTTTTTGATCCGCCTAGGACCTCATTTGTTGCATCCTGATTATTATTATTATTATTATTATTATTATTATTACTATTATTATTATCATTATTATTATTATGCAACTTAAGGATAAATATGTCAAATCTTAGAGTTTGTTTTGTGAAATACATGTTTATATACATAGGATATTCTAGATTAGTAGTCAATTACAGTTCATTAAACATGTTTAAATGATAATAATAATAATAATAATAATAATAATAATAATAATAATAATAATAATAATAATAATAAAGATATAGTAGCAAATAGAATATCAACTAAAATTAGGAAAATTCCACAAAAATTCAGGATCGACCATTCAAACGTAGATGGCCAATTGGGTAAGGAAAATGTCTGAACTAACCAACTTCTTTTGGATGCACAAATTAGGCTTGTTAATATGGATCCCAACATGAACATAGACAAGACGGAGGTTATGAAAATAACCAACCAACAACAACAACAGCAGCAACATCCAGTGCCAATGATCATCAAGGTTACTTCATTCACTTATCTAGGGAGCATTGTCTCAACTACAGGAGGAACGGACGACGAGGATGTCAAATCGAGAATCGGGAAGGCGAGAAACACATGCAACAACCTGAAAACAATCTGGGAATCTTCGTCACTCAGCAACACTCAACAACAAAATTCGGATTTTCAATACAAACGTCAAGTCAGTCAGTTCTTCTATACGGATCAGAAACTTGGCAACGGGTGACAAAGAATATTTCCAACAGCCTGCTGCAGATCTTTATCAACAACAACTGTCTTCGCTGGCTCTATACTAAAGATCAGATGGCCGGAAAGAATCACCAACAAGAAACTATGGGAACAAACAAACGAAACAAGAACCCATCGCCAAACAAATATGCAAGAAAAAGTGGAGATGGACTGGACACTCGCCCAGGAGGCCACTGGGTGACATCGCGCGTCAGGCCATCGCTCGATTGGAACCTGAAAGGGAAGCGGCGAGTGGGACGTCCAAGGGTGACATGGAGGAGATCGTGTGAAGAGGAACTGAAACAGTATGGACTAACATGGATGCAAGTGAAAAGTACAGCAGAAGACAGGAGCAAGTGGAGACGTGCAGTTGAAGCCTTATGTTCCACTAGGAACCCAAGGGAACAATGATATAATAATAATAATAATATGGATCCCAACAGCCAGCCAACCTAATCAATATTTAGTAGTTGAACTCTTAAGGCGAAATTGAGATGTTTTGTTGGTATGCGGTAAATGACCCTGAAAGCCACCGCCTTGTTAACATCAATCAGTCTTATGTTGTGTATCCACAAGATGAGTGAGATAGAATAGTGCTGTGAATAGATAGATTTTGTTTGACCTTTGCTCAACTAACCACTATGCAGGGAGGGTGATGTTGGGAAATTCAACGAGAAACACGACTAATTGTACGGCTTATGCAAGTAACTGGCTCACTCCACAGCAGGAGCGGTTCAATAGGTAGATACACACACATGGAAGAGGCGAAATTACTCCTAAATGCAAGAGAGGAGTGGTTTTGTAGACACCGCGTAATTCGGAAGCAGGCAATGCTCTTCTCATTTCTAAGGCACAGCTGCGTTAGTATCTCGCTGATGCTGTCCCCAAGGAACCAACTGCATTTGTAGGAATAAGGCCTTCCTTTTTTGGAACTGTTGGTACCTTGGGCTACCTTGGTTTTAGATTCATATTCTTATCAATAAACGTTTCTGGATAACCATTTTCACTCACCAACCAACCGTTTAATACTATTAAGTTCCTCTTCAAGACATTCATTCGAGCAGAGCTCTGTTGTGAACCATGCACTTTATCAGATTGCGTTTGTATTTCGAGGGCACGAAGCTGAGAAAATGAGTATACTGACAGTAGGCGAATATTATTATTATTATTATTATTATATAAAAGCCAGTGTTACTGGATGTTGACTTGTAAGCCAAAGCTATTTCATCGGTTTGTCCTTTGTTTGTTCGTTGTTTTGATCCGCCTAGGACCTCATTTGTTGCATCCTGATTATTGTTATAATTATTATTGTTATCATTATTATTATGCAACTTAAGAATCAATATATGTCAAATCTTAGAGTTTGTTTTGTGAAACAGATTGCATATGAAACACAAAACATAAAATGATTGAGCCAGCAAAGAATATCCTCCTTTACGATAAATTTCTCCTCTTCTCGCTCTACGTTGTTTGTGGCCGCAGAGTGAAGTGAAGATGACTCACTACTAGCCTGAAGAATAGTGCTAACTGTCGTAGAGAAGCAAGATGAGGAAGGTGATGTGAGTAAGGGAGAGTACGCACAGTTTCGCATATGCCAGTTTACGCCGTCTCTGGCTTAGTAGACGTGATATCCGACTATCGACCAAAGGGCGTGTGTACTGCTCACCAGTCCGCTCCGTCCTCCTTTATGGCTGGCTGTGAGCGAGACCTAGCCATTGAGAGTGCAAGGTATGAAAAGGCCAGCTGTCTCTCTTCGATCATACGTGCCTGCGTTCTATATCCCATGTGAAGTGATATAATAAGGTGAGCAATATTGAGGTTAGGCGTCGGTCGAGTGCTAGGTAAGGAGGGGAAATCAGTTGACGAGACTGTGAAATTACATTGACTGAGATGGTTAGGACATGTTTTACGTATGCATGACTATTTTTTAAATTTTATTTTATATTTACAGCTTGATGCCACACCGTACTTTCAGTACAAGTATGGAATTTTCAGCATGGATGTCGGTAGCCCAAATTTTGCAGGCCGACCATAGATATCGGGTGTGCGTCGGCAGGGGATCGAACCCCGGACCATATGCATGGTCGGCGACAGTCCTAACCACTGTGCCACCGACGCACTAGTCATCGCCTTCCTCGACAATGGGCAATGTTAGCTGGCTGACATTGGGTTGGTCAGGCTGGAAAAGAGTTAGCTAGCGGCGGTAAAACGAAAACATGGCACCAGTCAATGAAATTTACAACAGTTAGTCTAAACCACGTACGAAGGTGTAAACTGGCTTCTTGACTGGTTGGGTTCCTCGGGACGGTAAAAACCAATGAAGGCTGGAAACAGCTGTTGATGATATGGCTCAAAATCCTTCTCAATGGCTGGCTGGCTGGCGTAGATGCATCCACTCGTTGTGACTTATGATTTCTCCAGTGAAACTATATTGTTCTTCGTTATTACTATTCCTTTGTCTCACCACACCTGTGTTTACTGTCTCTGTATTATGCATTTCTTCTGTTGCTTTGTGTGCTACATGGAGTGGAGGGAGTGTGGCGACGTGAACTGCTGCGCATCGGTGCAAAATTCTATGTTGAAAACCGACCGACCTTTTCGCTCTACAATTATATATACACATGTTTATATACATAGAATATTCTAGATTAGTACTCAATTACAGTTCATTAAAGATGTTTAAGTTGTAATTATAATAATAATGATAAAGATATAGTAGCAAATAGAATATCAACTAAAATTAGGAAAATTCCACAAAAACTGAGGATCATTCAAACCTGGATAACCAAGCGAGTAAGGATAATATCTGAACTGACTTCTTTTGGATGCACAAATTAGGCTTGTTAATATGGATTCCAACGGCCAGCCAACCAGCCTCATCAATATTTAGTAGTCGAACTGTTAAGGCGAAATTGAGATTTGTTAATTGGTAATCGGTAAATGACCGTGAAATCCTCCCGGTTAACATCAATCAGTCTTGTGTTGTGTATCCACAAGATGATGAGTGAGATAGAATATAGTGCTACGAACTGATAGATTTTGTTTGTCCTTTGTTTAACTAACCAACCACTGTGCAGGGTGGGTGGTGTTCGTAAATTCGACGAGAAACATGCCTAATTGTACGGCCTATGCAAGTAACTGGCTCACTCCACAGGAGCAGTTCAATTGGTGGATACACACACATGGAAGAGGCGAGATTAGGCGGTTTGTCTTTTACTCCCGAACGAACACAAAATAGGGTTGGGTGGTTTTGAAGACACAGTGTAATTACGCAGCAGCAGCACTGAATGCTCTTCGTTTCACCGCCAAATTTCTAAGGCACAGATGCGTTAGTATATCGCTGATGTTGTCCCCAAAGAACTGACTGCATTTGTAAGAATAAGGCCTTTCATTTGCCTCGGAACTGTTTGTACCTTGTACTGCCTTGATTTTAGACTAATATTCTTATCAATAAACTTTTCTGGATAACCATTTTCACTCAGCTATCAACCGTTTAATATTATTATTAAGTTCCTCATCAAGACGTTCATCCGAGCAGATTGCTCTTGCTCTGTGGCAAACCAAGCAGTTTATCAGATTGTGTTTGTATTTCAAAGGGACGAAGCTGAGAAAATGAGTATACTGACAGTCAGTTGATGTAGGTTCTTTTGTATACATTTCCTGTTCTTATTGCGCCATCCTCTTTTCTGGTCTTAAGGACGTAGTCTAGAAATGAGATACTAGAGTCTTTTTCTTTCTT